ATTCAAAATACTAAGAAAGTTATATCCAGAATGCTGCCTAACAAAGCATTGAAACATTATTTAGAGTGATCAGGAACACTCCTGGCCACTTTGATTTTTGCAGTTCTAGAACTAGTATAGCATATCTCAAAATTTACATTCAGAGTTCAAAAAAAAAAGAGAATCATCTTGCTCTGAAGTGAAAGGACTCTCAAACTGCACACTAACTAGCTACTCTCTCTTCCAAGTACAGAGAAAACACAATGGTAAAAAACAACTTAAATACTTTAAAAAAAATACTGACACAGTTCTTTCCTTCAGATCAGCCATATGAGTGAAATGGGGTAGTAAACTTCCGAGTAGAAGCCTAATTTTGAACATAACTGACATGCCTATATATAAGCTTTCTGAATAGACACTGAAGCTAATATATTGTTGATATTGAAGTGCAAAGAGATCAAGTTGGAGAAAACGCCTCTTCCTACACCAGAAACTCCTTTGCAGCTTTCAGACCTTATTTGCAGCTCTCCATCAGAGCACCTAAGTATTTCTCCCCTCCATATTGTCAAGTGCAGCATCTGTTCTCCTAGCACTTCATTTTCAGACTAAATCCTCCTTCTTGTTTATCTCCCCTGCCACTCCCACCCCTTCCCACCAAAACCAGAGACCCATTTCAAGTGTCCCCCTTTTCCCAGGACTCCAACTGAAAGAGACAGCTATAGCTCAGCCAGCCAAAGTCACTTCTTCAGCTGGGCTCCCCACATACCTCACAACAGTTAACTGACACCACAAACCTCTGAGCCATGAACAAAACTGCTCCTGAACCTCTGCAGCTTACAGCACAGCAGTTTAAAAATTGAAGTCAGTGATTTCCTACGTTCAGATACCATACTGGACCATGAAGAGTTTGGAAGCTGGTTCATGATAAACCCCGAACCTCATGAAGCAGTGACAAGGAGAATTACTGGAGCAGTAATCTTGCCTTGCCTATCACAGCTTGTCACAAAGCATCAACGCAACGGTGGTCTTGAGGACTTAGCAGCATTCAAGGCTGATGGACCCTTAATATCCACTCTTGCCAGTGGATGTCTCCATTGCATTGTCTGATTCAACGATTATTTCCCGCTCCCCGCCCCATGAAATCATATTTTGCTGATATGACTTAAGCAGAAACCAAAATCTAGGGCTGATATCTAGAAGCCTTCACAGTGGCATTTTACATGCAGGTCTTGAAAAAATAAAGATGTTTCCTCACTCAGGCTACAGACCTTGGTGACCCAAAACCTCTGACAACTAGACTCCTTTCTTAAAGCCCCCAGAAAGATATCTGGAACTCAGTTCATCATGGTATAAGGATATTCAAGAACCACCACAGAACCAGTCTGAGTGAAATCATGTTTATTCCAAATCTTCAAAGGATCTCCTAAGGCTTTGGTATTCCTCCTGGGTACCCTTATAATGAATTACCTCCAGTTTCTGATCTACACCTATGAAGGATATTACTAAATACATGCTGAAGCTAGTGTTGAAGCTGGCCACTCTAAAGCAGAGCAGGCAGAATAGTGAAGTTTTATATGAGGCTGAAGAATTGACAGTTAACAAGCATTTAAGGTAACCAAAACCCATGAGAAGCTGCTACTACAGCAAGACATGAGAGACTAATTTAGAGTATTAGTGACTCAAATGATACATCCCTGCCATAAGAATGCTATCCCTAGAAAAGCACAAAATTTGGAAAAATTCAGCTATGAAACAGAAGGAAGAGTGAAAACTCCTACCAAAGGTAGAAGTAATGAGAAAAAAAAACCACTCCTGCATCTTGGCTGCACCTTCACAGACCAACACTCAAACTTGATGAAAACCAAGCTTCAAGCATGAACAAAGATCATCTCGGGGACTCTGAGATTCTGCAGGATCATGCTTAGTCATTGATGAGTTAAGGAAAAAAGTGCAAGAAGTCATAATGACAGATTTGCCCCATTCTCAGGGGTGAATATGTACATAGTATACTTCAAAAGAATTTGCAAAGATAGTACAGCTCCTCTAGGAAAGAATTTTTTTAACATACTCTTCAGTTACACTCAAAATAAACCTTGTGGCAAGAAATGGAATAGGTGATGTTAAAAGAGGAGCAAGAAATGAAGTTACTTCATCTCCAAAGCAAAACCAGGATCACTATAGTTTACACTCCAACCATTCTTCCCAGCCGTTCTTGTACACATCCTGCTACCTTTCATCTTCTGTGCTGTCATGAAGAGACCAGAAATAAAGACAGGACCAAGCACTGACATCATGCTTTTACAAGCCACTTGTATTCTAGATTCTCCATTCTCCACAGCATAGTAATAATGCAACTGAGAGGCCAAGATCATGCCACTTGGCAGACATCAGAAGTGCTAGAAGTTCCAGAAACTCCTCGCCATCCCTACTTAGATGTTACTTGAAACTCTTCTTGATGAAATGAGCAGCACTGCCCAGTGCCGACCAGCACTAGCTAGCTTTAGTCAGCCCTCCCTGTTCCTTCAGCAGTGTCATATTGAAGAGGTAGATTATAGACCAATGACTAGACCCACTGACCAAATCCCTCAGCTTGTTTCCTTTCTGGGGATTGAAAGGAAACATGTATCTACTTCAGTTGACCGTCTTTCACCTTCTACTTCCTAGAAAGGCAACACGGCATGCTGCCTATTATGAATTAAAGGAAACCAAAACAGATTCACCATCTCCACCTTGATCTAACTATTTGAGACCAACACCAAAATATAAGATTTCAGTTTGGTTATTATGAGAGTACTATCTGGAAATCAAAGCATACCTTTAACTGACTCTTGTCATGGCCAAAGCACCATAAATCACTCCACCAGCTCAGTTAGCTTTGGCTCTTTTCTTTACACCAAGCGAACATCAGCAGGTTATGCAGGCAATGACAATCGCTCCAGGCTGTGCAGTCAGCAGCACCAATGACAGTGTCACATTCAAGAAGTTTAGGGATCCCTGACAGAGATCCCTACCAAAACCACACTAAAAACCCCACCAGCGCAAGTTCTTGATGAAACTTCTCTCTATGGTCTATTGATCTTTGCCAGCATTCAGCCTCTAATAGCAGTCGCAACTGCTTTCCCCTTCCTTTAAAAAATAAGCTGAGTTTTAATTTCGAACAAGAAGCCATTATTACAGCTGCATAGAAACATTATTCTTGGTAACAGTAGCATCCTCCAGCAATGTTCCTGTAACTCAGACCTCCAGTTAAGGCCAACAAATCCATTAGCTTCTTGATCCCAACCAACTTCTTCCAGCTCGAGGGCAAGGGAGGTCATTAGTAATATACTGGTGCAGTAATCCTCCTATGTGACAGCAGTTTCTCAATGCCAAGGAACCAAGTTTTAGAGTCTGCCTCAACAGTTAAAGAATGAAAGCAGAAAGCACCTTTTTGGGAAGGGGGGGTGGGGGACGGGGAGAAAAAGAGGATATCACTTAAACTCCATGTATATGACAAGCCAGCCTTTCACAAAGCAGAGTTTTTTTAATTTATCAGTCTGTGCCCGTCAAAGTAACAGTACTGTATTATCTGTGTATATAGAAGAGTGACAGGTTCTCAATGCCATCCTCCAGAAGCATTCATGGCTACGTTGATAGTATGGAGTCCTTGGACTAGAACTTGCTTTGAAATTTAAGGCCTTCAGCTTTTAACCTTCATAATAAAATATGCTCATAATAGTTTAATGAATTTCATAACAACTAGCATTATGATTGATACATACACTGAAAACCTTTGACCTATCAACTTGTCTACTTTTAATTTTCAATCCAGTCCTTACTAATTATCCAATTAGTTTACTTATAAGCTTGCAGGAATCATTCCAGAAGTATTTTTTGCTGAGCTCTGCTGTAAGGGTCTTGGTGTAAGGCCATGGAAGGGTAAAAACCAAAAACCCACATAGGAAACCAACAAAGAAGCACAGATACAAAGAATATTTTGAAGTTGCATATAATTTTTAATAAGTCCAAATATTACCAAGGGCCAAGCAAAAAAGGTACCCCATTAATACCTAGATAGAAGGGAAAGTGAGCCAACTAACTAGTGGAACTAAATAAAATGGATTTAAGCTTTAGAACAAGTGTTTATTAAAATGAGCCAAGCACTTAAGCAGATGTTCCACTTTCTTTTAAGATAGAAAGTCTGCTTGTAGCTCTTAATGATACTCTGACTCAACAAGTCACTATGCAATCAGTTTGCCAAGAGACAAGGAGCTACTCTTAACTGTACGCCACAGACACTCATTTAATATTGTTCAAGGAAGGAACAGGGTCAAAAGCAGCATCAATGGTGTTGTGATTTCTAACTCTATGGAAAGATGGTGATAAGCCAGATGTTCCAATTAGTGCTTCAAAACCACTGAAAAAAGAAAGCTTTATCTTATTGGTTTATTTTAAGTACTTGAACACATTCTTTCCTGGCCCACTAAGTTGATATTAGATTCCAAAAAGACATTTTGCATTCCTAGCACTCTCCAACTTCAGCTTTTAAATAATAGCATAGCACAGCCTCTCATTATAATTTTTAATACGCAGCAAGTTAAAGCAAGATATATGCTTATTCATATGAGCAATTAAACAACAGTAATTCAGCAAAGTTAGGTTTTGTAATCTCTCGTCAGCTCAAACAAGCCATTTGATACTATTCACTGTATCAGTTAAGCATGTCTGAGGCAAGTGCTCTAACGAGCGGCATGAGCTAAGCACCCAGAGTTGCCATTTAGCATTCTATTTTTGAAAGATGCTTGCAGAATTATTTCCATAGGAGAATTTTTTATTATTTGTTTTATGACAACAGAGTTCTTGACCTGTACACAGCATGGAAAAAGACCCTGGACTAATCTAAATGCTAGGGACACAAAGTATTTAGGCTATCAAAATCAGAGACAAGACCCACTTCCTCCATTTCAAATAGGTAAAGGAAGGGGAATCAAATAAGTTCAGCTGAATTAGCACCTGTAATGAATCTAATAATTAGTACTTACATAGATGAGCCCAGAGTAATACCGATCCTTTAAATTATGCAATACAGAGGCTTCATTTAAACAGGTTAATTCTGCCATGTCTTCCACTTTAGAGAACTTGGGAGGATTCATCTTCTGAATATCATCTTTATTGACTAGTGCTTTCTTTCCATTCTCTGCCAGTTCGACCAACACTTCATCCCCTTTTTCCTCCTTGATGCTGGCTGCCTCAAAACCATGGCGCTCTGAAGGAATCCACACCAACTTTTTAGCTGTCCAATCAGCCTGGGTGGCAGGGTTGTAGATTACAGCCCTATCCACGAAGAGGTATCTCTCCGGATCTTCCTGTCCAGATCTCTGTGCCATTGTAGGAAGTGAAGCTGTCCACTATCAGTTACCCTGTAAATTGGAGAGGAAAAGAGCAAAGAGTATGTTACATACCATATTATTATTGATGAAATGAATGGAGCTATGGCACACCAATTAAACGATCTATCACTAATATCTGTATCTCCTCCTCATGAAGAAGCATCGTTAATTTCTTCCATAGGCTAAAGTTGCTATATAACTAAGAGCCCCTATTCACACAGCGGCCCTCTGAATAAACCAACTGCCCATACAAACGTTAAAATGATCTGTCAAGTATAACCCCAGACCCAGTACAGGAAACTCGGTATAAACTGGTTCTAGTTGTGCACCTACTATGGAGAGACATTGCAACAAATGTGAGAACTACAAGCAGGAAAAATATGCATCTGTACTCTATCCCTAGATAAGGAAGAGCAGCAAATTTAACAAAAGCTTGCCAAGTAAACTCAACTTCAATTGAACCGTTAAAAAAAAAATAGATAGACAGATAAAAAAATATAAAAAACGTTCAGTGGATAGCTAACTACAGTTAGCGAGAATATGTTTAAAAATGTGGATTTTCAACTACAGACAAGAACTTGAGACACTTGGGGTTTCTGCAAGCCATTAAGCTAGGTAAACCTTGCTCATATTCTTCCTGAAAAACTAAGACTTTGCATTTCTACAGCCTGCTTCTGCTCTCAGTCATGAGTGCTGACATTACCATATTCCAAAAAAATGTCTCCAGATCTCAAGTTTACCTTGAGGCTCAAGACTCAAGGACTGATGTTAGATTTTCCAACAGCTTCACAGGTAATTTGAAGAGGAAAGAAAAACTGCTGACAAGAGCTCCTGCACACTCATTTTACCTATTTGCCTCTATCTAAGAGAGGTCACCGCATCTTTAGTTAATAATACTGTCACAGCCAGGGTTCCTGGAGCTAGCAGTTTCATCTGTAACTGCCCGAGGAACAACAAGGTCAAGCCTGACACCTAGTACTCACGTCATTAAATACCTTGTTTTTTCACACACTAGATCTTTTCTGCTGAAGAATGTTACACTAGCTAATGGTAGCCTCTTCCAGCAGGTAACCGAAAGGTTAGCTTCAAAAGCAAGGAAGGTTTTGCAAACTGCATTTGTCATCTTTCATACTATGGTATGCACCCTGATGGAAGAAGTTCTGCAACACACCCATCCTCAGAAGAACATGTAATTAAACACAATAGTTGTGCCTCCATCTACGGCATGGACATTTGTTACATTGTCCAACTTTAATGTAAAGTAAGCATGAAGTCATAGAACCCTTCAGAGGTTTGAGGAGCAGACCGTTTACTACAGACAGCTTAATTCAAATCAAGAGGTGATGACTCAACATTTAAAGTACTTTAGACGAGCCTCTGAGAGAAAAATTCAATGAAGAAAGAGGGAGTCATTGAGGGGACATCTTAAGTGATAGCTGGACTCCTCAGCCAGGTAAATTAATAAATTAGTCAAGGAATGCTACAGTTAGCTCAAGAAGTCCCTACAGCTGAAGTTCCAACAAAGACCTGAAACACCATTGCTGCCCTCGTGTGCAAATGCATCTCGGTGTCAAGTCTCTAAAAGCTCCCTGGCCAGGTACGATAGACAGCCAAACACATTTATGATAAGCTCAGTCTCAGTTTTGCACACTGAATGTAGTGAAACCTAGAGGTCAGATAAAGCTCGTAGAACAAAATTAGTCGGTATTGCTCCCCAGCGGAATTAAAGGCTGAAGACTGAAATGAATGCATGAATTGACTTTATACCGGTTCCTGAGAAATATACCTAACATCAGGGGATCACAGACAGTTTCAGGGTCATTTTTCCACTTTGGCTTTTATTTCCACGGAGCCCATTACAAAAGACCCTCTGCAGAAGCAAAGCAAGTTGCAGCTTACTCTACCCAGGCTCCTCTGTTAACAATAGCATTCAAATGAAATACACAAATGAGCACATTTATCATGCAGGAATCCAGCACTCCCAAAAGAC